CCCCAAAACCCCAAAACCCCAAAACCCCAAAACCCCTAAAAATTGTATTTTTATTGAAAGTTTAAGAATGGATCATAAACTTCTTCATCATTAGATATGAAACAAATCCAAGAGCTACAACTCCACCAAAAGTACTGAGTATAATGTGATATCCTCCAAGCCAATTAGACTGAGTGCCCTTACAAGCAGCCAACCAGTCATCTCCTTGGTATTCTCTGGATTTGAGATACTCTTTTAACAAATCATATGGACATCTTCCTTCTTCATCACACTTATTGTTAATGTTCAAGGCTTTATCATTATAGATCCATTTCACATAGTAATCTTCATCCTTGTCGCCATTTGTTCCAGCCTTCTTCCAGAGCTGGATCAAATTATGAGTGGCATAGAATGGCTGATATTCCTGCTTTTGCTCAATTCCTGATAATACAGCAGCTGCTGTTGAGTCATGAGCACTGATATAGATTAGCTTTTTAGATTTAATCCAGTTGACGTCATCCATATCTGTAAGAGTGGACAATATCTTAGCATCAAATGTTGAATATAAGAAATTCAAAAAGTTAGATGTGGCAATCCTAACCATTTCATCAAAGTAAAAATTGAAGTAATAGAATTGATCAGCCATGATTTTATCAACAGTTTCAACAGGGAGCTGATATTTTTGGACTAATCTATCATCGAAGTAAGCAGTGTAGAACTGATCAGCCAAGTGCCCAACACTTTTAAAATCAAGGTCTTCATCTACTTCCCAATTCTCTCTAATCTGCTTGAGAATGTTGTCTTTATACTTTTCATTTATTTCAGTGAATTTGGCTTCATCTCTTACCTTTTGAGCAAACTGATTTACTACTGGACATGTTTTGGCATCATGAGCCTGAAAAATATGAGCAAAGTCATCTCCTCCAACATGAATAGGTATTGGTTGATATCCATGCATTGTTGGATCGTTTCCTAGATCATTTAATGTTTCCTCAATGTTGTCAATCTCAAAAGGAGGTAGAGCTGTATTCTTTTGCTCAGGCAAGACCTCTTCCACAGATCCGAGAGGATACCACCCTTGGTTCTCTGAATAAGCACTCATTATAGTTCTATTATAATTAGTAGAGATAACATAAACCTCTCTTGGATCAAAATCCTCACTGAGATGATGGATTTCATCAGTAATAAACTTCCTTCTTTGCTTATTACCTAAAAGATAATGCTGTCTCTCTCCAGATGGGGTAAGTTCTCCAAGTCCCATTTCCCAATCCTTTGTGTTAACATTTGGCTCTTTCCTAGTAGAAATGGTACTTCTGGCACCGTGTCTTGTCATTTGTATCATCAACAGTAATTGATCTTCTGCTGAACTATCACTAAAACTCTCAGTGTCCCCCGAATCACTCTGAACTTTAAAAGACTCCGCACATCCGAATAGAATGCTGACTACCAATACTAGAAGTAGTTTCATTAATTTCAATAAATATATATTAAAATGGGGTTTTGGGGTTTTGGGGTTTTGGGGTTTTGGGG